GTGCAGGGTGGGAAAACAAAACATCTATTAAGGAGGCTCCGAACAGTTGCGCAGCGCAGTGTAAAAAGGGCACCTCGAGAATCTGTTTTTTGCCGCGAGATTCAAAAAATATCGTGTTCCATGCGGAAACAAGCTGTTGTGCAGAAAGAAGTTTTTTGATTCTCTGTGCTCGCGGTTGTTCCAGGATGTACTTGTTCTACTCGTTGCAGTGTTTCTGTAGCCGTGGCAGTTTCTACGCTGGAAAGAATCACTAGCACTGGCCATGGCTAATGCAAAACAAAGGCAGTTCGTACGCTGCTTGATTTTTTCTGAAAACTTTGCTGAAGCGGTACGCGGTGGCCACGAAGAACAAAATATTTATAATAATTATTACTGACGAAGAATGATGAGAAAAGCAGGCTGAAGTCAGTGAAGACATCGATGTCGAATGTAGTGATACTAGTACTGGTATTTAGTATGGACTACCTGTGGAGCGTGAAGTGGCTGCCCACTCGCTGGTAAGTGGACCCACTTGCAGCTCCAGTCGCACGAGTGCCGTTTGAAACTTTCTGTGGATCCTTGAGTATCCTGAGCTCAGTGGACGACGCATCTCAGAGCTGCTGAACATGGGCTACTGTCCCTGAAGAAATGAGATTCGTGTCAACCACTGTACTGTACTGATGGTGAAAGGAAAACGCTCCCCAGAAGCTTGTGTTCTGAACCAGGGACGAACTTCTAAATCCTGCTCTTGTAAAAATGGGGATGTCACAACTAAGATGTGCACACCCAGGTGTGCATTGGGTATTTGTCTATGGCTGCATATTTTGAATCCTTTCCTATGCGCAAGTACATGCGTTTGTGTGTGTGTACGCGCGCGCGCATGTGTGTGTGTTTGTGTACGCGCGCGCGTGTGTGTATACGCGTGAACGCATGCGTGTGTGTGCAAGCTGTTGAAAGGTGTAATCCGAGCACAAGTTGCTATGTCTAACGTAGTTTGTTCGCTATCCTCGCTTCAGCGTTGAGCAGGTGTATGAGTGTGTGTGTGCGCACGTGTGTATGCGCGCCTGTGTGTGCGTGCATGCTCGTGCCCGCATGCTCGTGCCCGCATGTGTGGGTTCGTACGCAATGTTGATCTGGGTTATGCACATGTTCCCACGAGTGCACTGGGTGCATGTGCATGCAAATGTCTGTGTACATGTATGTGTGTATGCACGTGCGTGTGTGCAAAGCTAGGTGTGTATGGGGGGGGGGGGGGCTCACGGTGCTGGTTCTGTATGGCTCTCCTCTCTGGTGTCCGCAAGGACAGTGTGGCAGTGGCTTTACAGTTCAGGAGGTGCATGTGAATGTGCATTTGTGAACCGCATTCGAGACTCAAAAAACAAGAGGTCATGACAGTGCACTATAATTGTATGTGTGCACGCCAGCATGTGTAGATGCATATTGCCCTTCATGCGTATGTTTTTCTGGAGTCTGCTGCTATGAACACAAGTAATTAGTTACAACCAGCAAATGCATGCCCAGTGCAGTGGCTGGTTTTCATGCTTCTATTTACACCAAGTCCTACTATGGACTAGTAGTAGTGTTACAATGATGCGTGCATGAGAGTGCGTGCATGTGGGTGGGTGTTTATGTGCGTGTGCACGCACGTGTGTGAGTGTTAAGTGTGCCTGATTTTGGATGCCTGCTTTCACATTATCCATGTGCCAGTTTCATGGTCGAGGATGTTATGAAACCTCGCTGCCTTACATGTACATGTACACTACTCGTATATCAATGTGCTAGAGCTGAAGGCTACATGACATACATGTACATGTACATGTACATGTAATTATACATGTACCTTTGTACCTTTCCAAGCACAGACTGTCTGGTATGTCCAAAGGAGGTTGCAGCATGAAAATAACTTCTTCTAAAATATATTACCATACCACCATGTCATTGGTAGTGTTATTTAGTCAAGAAGGCAAGAATGGTCAGATTTTCTAAAAATGCTATTTTCGGAATTGGCCTTGAAATACCATATTTTGACACCTATATTGTTTCGTAGGGGCCTAAAGTGCCTGGTGACACCATCAAAACTGTCTATTATCGGTTTCCTTGGGGCTCAAGGATCACAGAAAGCCACAAAAATCAATATGTCCATGGACAAAATGTTGCAGGCTGAACCATTTCCCAATTCACCTCCCGATGGAAATTTCGGTACCCGTAATTTCGAGAAAGTGGCTCACCAAGGGCAAAACCAAGACACAGTCTATCTTGTGTACCCAAGATACCTCCAAATGTGGTTCTTAAACACATGACGAAGAAAATACTTAGTATCCTCCTTCCAGGAGGCTTCTTTGGGTCAAAAACCAAATTTTTTACCATTTTTTTGCCGAAAATAAAGAAATTGTACACTCACTAAATACACCAGAATACCTCTTATATGCCTGGTGACCCTACCTAAAAACTATACCAAATTGAAGAGGAGACACCACTCCACCATTCTATGCATAAAAAACAGGGTGTCCATGGACCTTTTATTTTTGCTTCTTTAGGTGGGAGCCTCCTTAAAGCAAAACAAAAACATGTATGAACTGTGATGGGACGGATGTTAGACCAGTAGGAGAAGAAAAAGTAGATTATTGTGTCGGTTCCAAAGGGAGCTCACAACGGCCGCTAACACTCCGTAAGTCAAGTAGAACGAGGAGAGATGCAGATGTACTGCTAGCTACTGAAGTACAATACAATAATTATCATACCAAAGCAGTCATTTATTCACACGTTGTACACCAAGGCACAGTTGATCTTAAAAGGCAGATCAGTATGGCTGGGCTGGGAGAAGGCAAATATACGGGGTCCGCGTGGGGAAGGAATAAAGGAGGCAAATCGTTCCTTGATGATGTGTGTCCAAGTACCGTAGATAAATAATTACATAGAATGACCGCACACATGATCAAACTCAATGGTGCCGCAGAAGGGAGGGAGGGAAATGGTTTCACAGAATCTATTTCACAAAGATTGCAGCTTCATCAATGCCAATGTTCTCGTCAAAGCTGTAGCTAGAGCAAAGCCGGATCTGTACTTCATCAGAGCTACTAGTGTCAAGTTGACGATGAAACCATGGCATATCGGTGTTGTCACAACATGTCCCACCAGCAGTACATTGACTCGTGTTGCTCCATGCATGGTTGGCTGGAGTGAATGTCCAGCGTCTCCATTGTCAGCGCAATAGTAGTGGCTACCAACAAATGATGGAGGTTGTGGACCGGGTTCTGGACTGCACGGGCAATGATAAATCGCGGATGCGTTGTCAAAACTAGCTGTGTATGTCCATAGGTGACGCATAGGAGAACCATATGTGACAGAGACACCATCCATATACCAGCTGTGCAAAGGGATATAGTCAGTAGATCCGACGTAGAACGCATCCAATGTTTGATCCTGTGGCCAACGAGTGAAGAAATCGTTCAAGGACATAATTCTAGTTTTAAGAAGCAATAATGAATCTGTCCACAATTTTCTTAGTGAATCCACATTTCATAAATAAAGAGATTTTCGCCAGCCGGAAACTGTGCACATGTACTCCCGTGATTATAGAATCCCCAGTAAAACATACGAGGAGATTGCGCTCAAACAACCGAATTTTGGGGATGTGCACGAGGCAGCTGTGATACAGACATGGACACATGTGCCATTACCCACGTCAGAACCCTGTATAATGAGCATCAGGAGTTTCTGGATGATAAAGTAGTGCAGTCCAATAGCACAAGGAAAATGAAAAAGAGAGAGAGAGAGAGAGAGAGAGAGAGAGAGAGAGAGAGAGAGAGACAGACAGACAGATAGACAGATAGACAGAGAGAGATAGATACATAGATAGATCGAGAGAGAGAGAGAGAGAGAGAGAGAGAGAGAGAGAGAGAGAGAAAGAGAAAGAGAGAGAGAGATAGAGAGAGAGAGAGGGTTGTACCTGTGTACAAACGAAGCAGTCAACTGGGGAAAGCAAACAAGTATCGCCCAGCCAGTCTACTCTCTGTCGTTAGAAAGGTGTTCTATCATACTAACTCGGATGGTGAGCCGAGGATACATTATTGCTATGTCTGGCTAACCCCCCTTCCTTTGCATTGGCTTCTGCCATTGGAAGGTGAAAGAAAATTAAAAAGTTAGTGAAGAAAATACCAGGGAACTACAAGTTACGCTAGAATGTCCTCAAACACCACCCGTTATTTGACAATCAGCTCATGCGATAATATTGCACGGCACTGGCCAAAGGTACTGAGATTCTGGAGATAACTGGATATCAGCTCTAGCGCATCTTGGATGTGCACTCCGAAAGACTTTCCAAATTGAAAGGTTCTAAGTTACAGAAATAGCAAAAGGAGGGGAAGGTGAGCACATCCAAGAAAAGCACAAGCTGAAAGTGTCAGCTCTGAAAGACGCTGGTGCATGTACATGCATGTAGATGAGGGTGCTGACAAGACCGTTAGGCAATACGTTCAAACCACAATTCAAGATCGAATACTAACATACCACGCACCTTTTGTGGTGTCAAAGTCCTTTTAGTTTCGCATTACTTGAAGAATATGAACTAAAATTCCACTTCGTTGGTAAACATTTTACCATAATAAGCAACAGATTTTTACTCACCCGATATCCCGTCACAAATCCCATCACTTCACTATACGATTCAATGGGTGATTGAAATGAAGCACCATGACAAGATGGACCGCTTGGCATAGTACACAGGTTGACTTGAAGATTTTCAAATCTCATGTTACCAGGACAACTGCCCTGCTGTGTGGGGTTGATGTAAGCAATTCTTGTCCAACCACCGCCATAGTGATCCATATCACAGTAGACCTACAAAACACGAGTATGACACAGTGGGTGCAGTAAGGTGGTAGTCCAATAGGTGGTGTGTGCACCGGTAATCCAATATCAACACAAGGTCACACTGGACCTGTGTTTCCACCTTAGTTTGTTATACGTAGACGTGACTCCTTATACATGTACAGGTATGGTACTTGCAAGAGTACATGAAAACCAGAGTGTGCAGCTTGGGAACTTTTCTGCTATGGGTGTCTGTCACGGCGGAATTCCGTGATTACCTCATATTTGGCGCAGATCTGAGGCGGGAAATGGCGTAGTGCGTACAACTGAGCTGCAGTTGTGCAGAAAGAGACCTGCTTGAATCCTGCTAGTACGCACTACATCACTAAAATGGAATTCCGCCGTGACAGCTACCCATCTGAGCTGCACACTCTGGTTTTCATGTACTCTTGGTGCTAGATAAACCTTGTTTGTCTAAACATGTTGTCAGCATGTAACAACACGGTACGAGAAGTCTAAGACAACTCCCCTGGAATAGAGAGGGTCAGAACCGGGTCCAACAACCATACAGTTCAGATGGTCGCAACCGACCGGGACTCTTAAAAAAAAATTAAAAATTCGACGGGCTCTAGCAACGTGAATGGTTGTAGAAAGGTCACTGTTTCCGAACACGGTGTCCTCCACCTTGTTACATGCTGCCAACCAACAACATGTCCATGTATGTATGGAAGTAGTAATCGAAACGAGGACCAGTAAAATAATAGTTTAGATTGCTTGGACAAGGGTAAGAAGTTTACCTCATTGAATGATGTGTTCCCAAGGTGCAGCGAGACAATCCTGTACATACCTGAAGATGGTATGGAGAAGAGCCATGGACAGCATTACTGCTTGCTTGAATGTCTAGTGTATAATATAATTATAAAATCTTGAACGAATGTTTTAAAAGCACATGTTTCCAATATACAATGTACATTGTACATGTACAGTGGAACCTGTCTGAGACGACCGCTCAGGGGACCTTCAAAACGTGGTCTCTGTTACCAGCAGGTCTCCTTATACAGGGCCAATTGACTGGAAATAGCATCACTTGGCCCTGGTCTCAGTGGTCTTCTAGGACTGGTGGTCGCCTTATCCGAGTGGTCGCCTTGACAGGTTTTACTGTAGTTCTACTGGTTTTTGAAGCCAGATTTTAGCCGGATTGAGGTACAAGACGCACTTTGACAAATCCTGGTTTGATATTTGAGTCTCTATTCAGTTTGCGATAGTACACCTGTTAAAATTGTGATAAACCACTACACAATCTGGCCGAACTATTAACACCCTATCCATACACCACTTTCCACAAAAGGATGCACGCACCCCCCGCCCCCATCCACACACACACACACACACAAGGATGCACACAACGCCTTCCCCCCACACACACAAGGTGCACACCCCCCCCCCCCCGCACTCACACACAAAAGCTAAATTTAATGGATTGTCCCGCTGAGATGTGGGATCTTACCGGAGGAGGCTGTGAAGTCTGAGAGTTGCTGAATTTCCTTACATGAACTAGCGAGTTTGAGAGAGTTCTTCTTCACCTATCGCAAAGCAGATAATCCAGGTACAAATTCAACGTTTTCACATAAGTCCTCTTTTCGTATCCCAATACAGTTCTGTCGGTTGCCGAAGAATGCAGTGCCAAAGAACGAACAGGCTAGAGTTTCACCAAGGACAGCATGCCAATGTATACACGATACTCAACTGTGTATAGTACTGGTACATGCAAAATATGAACGTTCTAGGCTACGAGGCTGACCCCAGTTCTGTGAAACCCGACAGTACCGTTCCCTAATATTTGCACAATCTCACGAGAGTTCTGATCAACTGTTGATATTGTTATACAGTATCAACTTAAAACGGATCAGAACGAATTGGCGAGCACTGAGCACACATGCTGATTTCTTGGACACTGCAAATTTTCAACTCGTTTCATTTCAACCAGTTATAATAGAATAGTATGATAAGGAGCGTGAGAATGCAGCAGCTCGCGGTTATTCCTAACGCGTGTAGTGTGAATTTATGCTGTGGATCTGATCATGGTAGCAATACATGTAGATGAATGTGGCAGCTGTGTGCGTGTGTGGACAAAAATGGTGAGTGCGTATCATTTTGAAGAGTGTGAGTGCTACAACATCACGTTTCTTTAAGCAGTTGCAGGTGTTGGAAGCTGTTCATATTCGTACACGTGACCCTGTGCTATGCAAGCAGAAAGAAAATGTTGTAGCACTCACACTCTTCAAAATTTTAATAATAACTGAGCAGATAGCAAAAAAAGCCTTGATTGTCCTTGTTCTGCAACTGAGCAGATAATGTATAATTATGTAGCATGTACCTGTACACATTGAAATCCCCACCCTGCCAATACAGTGTTTACTATTGGTCAGCAATCGCGCTCTCTTGTAGTACGATTTATACTTCAATCTCTTAGCAGATGCATAGCAGCGCTAACATGGCTCCATGGTAGGCATTTCCCAAATCGAGAGCCGAAAACAGTGATTGTGAAGAAACTAGCCATCGTTTCTCCAATATTCAATTTTGAATTTTTGCACTGAATTCTCCGAAAATCACAGTTTTTTTGGTGCCTCTACAGCATGCAAATACAGTTTCTGAAACCATTACACTGCAAGTAAAAAAAAGGTGACGGCCACGTTATGCATTTCTGAAATCGGTCACCAGGAAAAGAGAGACACGGAAATCAGTGGCTGTCAAAAAATCACCGAAAATGTCGCCGAATTTATAAACCTCGCACTGAATTCGGCGAAAATCGATGTTTCAGTGCCCCTATAGCGTGCATGCAAATGCACTATGTAGAACTATAATGTATACTGCGAGCGGTGGCTTCAATTACTGTTCGGAGCCAGATTTGGCCATTCTCCGAGTTTCTCTCAGCCGATCTTCTCTCAACCGATCTGAGAGAATGTCCAAGTAGTTTGGCCATATCATAAAAAGCTGACTAGGCGACAAAATTGAGCCAATTCGGGAAATACCTACTCCGTGGAGTGGTATATTAATAACTCCAAGTAGCAGCATATTAAAATACTGTACTTAAAAAGAAGTAGATAATACATGTAGAATGTACCTGCATCTGTAGATGTGAATCTCGGTCATCCATTCTTTGATTTAGTTCAGTTTCAAGCTGCCCAAGACGAGAATCCATATTCTGGTTACTTCGACTTTCCGATTGGGAAATACGGCTGTTCATCAGTGCAGTTTGTTGCTGTCGCACAGAGGCAAGGCCATTGTCCATTCTCTGGTTTAGCTGGCGTTGCATCGTTTGCTGTCCTGTTGTTAGATGGGATATCTTTGTTCCTTGTTCTGCGAGTTTGGTCGTGAACATTGCCTCCAGGGTGCGGTCTTTGGCTCTGAGATCGGAAACCACTTGTACTTGCATAGCACGTGTGTTGTTCAGATCCTCTTGTGTAGCTTGTTTTTGGGAGAGCAGTTGACTGATTTTTGCATCTTGTGTGTCAAGTCTGGTGCTGAGGCGCGCTTCAAGACGACGCAGGAAGGTCGTTATGGTGTTGGCATTTCTCTGAGATGCTCGTGCTGATTTCTTCTCAACGGTGTTGAGCCGATGATTAAACTTGGTCATTGACGATGTCATGTTTTCGAACTCCTCGATACCAAATCCTGCAGGCAATAAAACGAAGAAAATACAATTTTCGTGCAAGTGTTCATTTTGTGGACGGGTACGTGAGTGCACATACATTGTATGCTAACGCGTGTGTCAGTGGATACCTTTTCATACAATCTTACCCACGCTGTATCCTGGCATCACGTGATTATCCAACACAACCACGCGTGTAAGTTGTCTTTCCGTGCAGACCATACCACCGAGAAGTATTTCCGCAATACATCACAATAGCTGATTATTGCGTTCACTTTCAATGTTCGTATTGGTACCTGAATATCACTTGACGTGACAATAAGGGTGGCAGTGAGTTTTTTTATCAAGCTACAGCCAGTAGTGGACCCAAATCGCCTGTAAATATTGAATTTTTATATTCGATATTAATCTTTGGATGCCGAAAGAGCCCGTGCAGTCAGAGTCTTACTGTGCTGGCATTGTTGTCCATAGTAGAATGGTGGGCAGTGACATACGTAATGGTGTGATCCAGATCGCTCACAACGTCCTCCGTGCATGCATGGCCTCCGTGTGATGCAGGCTGATACAACTGAAAGGACACACAGCAAAGGAAAATACAGAGATGCCAATACACTACAGGTAGAGGTTCAGAATTGAGACACTGTTGAGAATACGGAATACACTACAAGTAGAGGTTCAGAATTGAGACACTGTTGACAATAGTCATGGAAGCTCTCATTTTGGGATAATCATCAGGAAGAAATCAACTTTGCATCAACCATTAGATAGATATCTACAACATTCGGGATGTGGCGCACCCTGAGTAGAAGTTGTTCTCGCCCTTAACGTCCTAAGGCGCCCGTGCTCTTGCGCCTTGAGTAACTGCCACCTTCAGGTGACTTATCAGCAGAGAATATAGGAGCCCTTCATTCCAAGGACGGGAGATAGACTGATGAATTCGTCTTCCCAGCTTCAACTGAAAGCAAATTTCAAATATTCAATTGCAGAGTGGAACACGTCTAGTACATTTCCGCAAGGCTGTAGGAACTCCGGCTATTAAAGATGATGGCGTCCCAATATTTCTGGATTAATTTCATGGTGCTCGTGGCGGGGAAGGCATGGAGAGAGATCGCCTGGCTGACAATCTCCCAAAGACGGAAATTTAAATCGTCGGCTTCCTACATGCCTAAGTGATAGCAGCACAGAGCGGCGTGCACACTACCTTTGTATTTGACGTATACATAGTCTCCGGACAGCTTCTTGTTTTGAACTATTAGGTCTTCTCAACAAAGGTCCGAGTTCATGGCTGAACTGATCGCATTTTTTGAACCAACGCAAAGCATCGAGGTCATACGCCCCAAACCGTAGGGTAACCACAGCAAGCTTTGATGGATAGAAAAAAACGTGTACAGTAGTAGATACTTCGAAGTACAAGTGGATTGATGGCTAGTTTATCCGGTCTGCGGAAGGAATTATGCATGCATTCTTGCATTCGCAACTGAACTTCATCCAGAGGAAATACTATACGTTGGTAAATATTCTGGCTCGTTCACACTGCGCCTTACCGAGTTCACATTGTCGTCCGGCGTATCCAGGTCTACATTGACACTTGTACTGCTTCAGCTGAGGAGTGTTACCATCAACACTAGCGTACACACATTTACCACCGTGTTGGCATGGTGACGGATGTTCACACTGACCATCTAAAAACACACCAGCCACAGCAAGGATTAAAGTATTCTAACATGCTGAGAAAGTTTGAATTCAATGTAATCAGTCTGGGAGGTGAACTGCCAGAAAAGCGAAAAATGCCAATCCGGTTAGGACTCAAACCTTGCTTGCTTGTAATGAGCAAGGCTTTTACCATCTGAATGAAGCACTACGGGCTCAGGTAGAGCATGGATGTTCACTTCTCTGACAGATAACGTGGAATTTGAAGTTTCTCCTCAATTCTGCAAAATTGGTCACCTTCTTTCACCTGTGGTAGTACGTTCCAGAAACTGCCCATGGTTGGTCCCCGGGGAAGGGAAAGGACCCAAGGGCTAATACTGTGCATGGCACGTGTTGTGAACTGCCTTTGGATTGAAAACCTTTTCAGTACGTTCGCCGTTTTCTACGGGTGGTCCCAAAGCTCAGATGGTTAAAGCATTCTCATGACAACACAACGTCCCATAATCAATTTCTGTTGGGTAGGCAATGCTTTCTTTCCTCTTTTTTTCATGTCTTGCGGTATCCTTTCAATTTGTTCCAAAGATTGAGATCCTTTTCATTTACCTTTGTTAGCATGTTCGAGAAGCTGGCCATGGTTGGCCCCCGTGGAGGGAAAAGACCCCACTGGAACTAGTATGGGTGTCACGTGTCACGAGCTGCCTTTGGGATAAAAGCGCCTTATGGGATTGGCATGATCCGATCGCTCACATGGTTAGAGTATTGCTTACGACAAACAAGGCTCAATGGTCGAATCCTGATGTAATGGGCGCGGGTGAGCATCTTTCTCGGTCTTTTCAAGCAGTTCACAACACCCATTTTTACCAGTGTTGGGTTCATGGCGTTACATTGACGTATGAAGCGATGAGAAAATAGGGAAATTGTGAAGCATCACTGTTCCCCTATTTGTGGATGTCAGAGCAGATCATTCTCAATTCGGTACACTCATTCCAGCACAAAGCGTTTTGGAATAGAACCATTTCACGGTTTCTGATAAAGGCTTTTCTAGTCATCACAAAAGATGAGTTTGATTCTTAATCTGTGTGACTCGTTTAACAATCACAACTCTACTTACTACATGTACAGGGATACGTACCAGCACATGTAGCAAATCTTGACACTCTCTCATCCCCGCCAAGGATAGCAGACAGTAGCAACTTGCTCGTTGTTGAAAGCGTCCGCTGATCAACGGGTGGCAAGAATTCACCCATCAGTTGTTCGTACCTCCTCGTGGACTGATCATTGTCATTAGGGAACGAATGACGTAACCATGACGTCATGCATGTATATACAGGAATAAAAAAATATCAATGGGGCACAGCATGACCCTAACTATTTTACTCTGGAGTTCGTGTAACTGAGTGCATGTGTGGACACAATGACTGAATAGATAAGAATAAGAGTGTTGGTGTAGAAATAGTTAGTGGTAATACTAATAAGGATTGTATGTTATTGTATTTTTCTGTCACCCACCAGAACAAACAGCATTGCTTCCGCTACTTTGCATAACAATAGAATAAGCCTCTGGTTAATAATGTACCGCCGATAGGCAAGCATCTATACCTCATTACATCTATAATCACTTCGTGCAAAATATTCGAAATTGGGTTATTGATATTCAATCGAGAAGTAATTTCGAGGCATCTTGCAGCTTCATAAGTAGAGAGTAGTTGTGTGGCCACACCCATTCCCACAGCACTGCGTACGACGACGGCAATTGTGCCGAAACGCTGTACGTAAATCGGTTCGGTTTGCAGTGCTGTGGGAATGGATGTGCAAAATATTCGAAATTGGGTTATTGATATTCAATCGAGAAGTAATTTCGAGGCATCTTGCAGCTTCATAAGTAGAGAGTAGTTGTGTGGCCACACCCATTCCCACAGCACTGCGTACGACGACGGCAATTGTGCCGAAACGCTGTACGTAAATCGGTTCGGTTTGCAGTGCTGTGGGAATGGATGTGTCCACCCAACTACTCTCTAATATTCAATCGCTTAGAAATCCATGTTATGAGAAAATGTGGGTTGGGATCTGCCTGCGCCGTGTCCCGAAGTCATAATCTCAAATTGGTCAAGCCAATTTTCATTATTCGAAAAGCCAAGAGGGCTGGGCTTTTGATTGGAACGCACTGCAGAGACGTCCTCAAAGAATAAAGCTGTGTTCCCAACTGGTGCGTAGACGCGGTACGCTTGCGGTTCATGCGTGCCCATACGCGCGCTCAAGCTTTCACAAAAAACAGCAATCTGAGTCGTATTAAGCGCGCGCGACACCTTCGAGTACATTTTGTTGACCCCGCCAGTCAAAGTGAATGGCATGTACGCTGGTACGCGCTGAAAATTCCAACATGTTGGAAGTTCCATTTCGGCGCGTTTCCGTGCGCATGGCGCCCCAAAAGCAAGCAAAATACGCACAAACGCGTCGTTGCACGCGTACACGCGCCAGTTGTGAACATAGTTTTAAAGCTGTGTTCACAACTGGCGCGTGTGCGTGGTACGCTTGCGGTTCATGCGTGCATATACGCGCGCGCGCTCAAGCTTTCACGAAAACAGCAATCCGAGTGGTATTTAGCGCATGCGACACCTTCGAGTACTAATTTTTTGACCCCGCCAGTCAAAGTAACTGGCATGTACGCTAGTACGTGCTGAAAATTCCAACATGTTGGAATTTCCATTTCGGCGCGTTTCCGTACGCATGGCGCCCCAAAAGCCAGCAAAATTACGCACAAACGCGTGGTATCACGCGTACAAGCGGCAGTTGTGAACACAGCTTAACTCATTATACGCGTTGTACACAGGGACATGTTGCTCCTAAACTACACACATTTTCTGTTACAACTAGGCATGGGCGGGTAATGCTAGTTATTCGCTGCGATAATGCTAAAGGCGATGCTCATAATATGAGGATAAAATGCCACTTTATAATGCTCACACTACTCCATAATGCCAGTTTGAATGTCGGAAAAGTCGATTTAAGAAGGCCGTCTTGGATCAAGGCCAAAGCGTAGAAGAAGAAGAAAACGGCAATTATGCTTGTAATGCCAATTTTGCATGCGAAATAGTGTTATAATGCCAGCATTATGTCCCCTGGAAAAAGGGGACTATAATGCCAGCCATAATGCTAGCATTACCCGCCCATGCCCAGTTACAACAGCAGTTCCATTTTGGTACATGCAAATGTATTTACTATCAGGTTGGTAACCATCAACTGCGGTGAGAAATGTTTCGTCCTGTCCAATGTAGAAGAGGCATAAAGGTGTGCTCCTATTCAAAGATGTAACCCTTGAAATGCGGAGTGTCGACAAACATTATTGTACCCATGATTAGAATCAAGAGTACATAGCCCTCCAGAGTGTGCAACTCCGGCATACAGTGATGTCCAGAGACTGCAGACAGAATTGCAAGTCCACATCAATTTTTAATTTTACAATGTGATGCTCCTAGTACGAATGACATCACCGGCTTTGCCAAAGTGATGTAAAAGCGGAAAGCGCCCCCTCTCCCCCCCCCCAAATCTCATTGTCTAGCTATGTGATATATTCGTTTCCTGTACGAACTTGAAATGCACTATAAAGAGTGCAAAGGATTCCACGAGCGTTTTTCCTGCTTAGTCCCAGTAACTTTATAGGCAAATCCAGGTACTGCCAATTTAGACATGAACGCAGTGCGTACTATCCCGCATCCTGCTTTGACCAATTAGCCATGCACACCAATACGATCTGCGGGTAGATAAATTATACGTGTTTCACCAGATATGCATGTACTAGCTGTGATCTGGCATTCATTCATTCATTTCTCGAGTTTGCAGATCATGATACTCTTACCAGAGGTTCCAGTTTGAATGGGCGAGCGCGTCGCTCCGTCAGCTCCAACTACTCTCTGCCCTGAACTCAGCGTCACGACAGTGCACAAGAAAACTAGGAGCACCACCAGCCGGTGTCTCTTCCATGTCATTCGCCCCATCTCACGTCCAGTTCTCCAGCGACCAAAACCGGGAATAGAGTAGACCGGTAGTTCTAGAAATCTTTCTTTCTTCGTCAACACTCAGATTCTGTTGTGAAACGGGTTCAGCCGAGCGGAACGTAATGAGACTATTCAGATGAGATGACTGACGTCTGCACTCTCTACTTCCACAATTCTAGTCTTCGCGCAACTGTGCGACTGAGCTCGAATGCTTGCGCGCTCCAGTAACGGTGGTGGCCGTATGTGTCTCGGATCCAACATGCACTGTCAAACTGCAATGCCATGGCTGTGGTACATGATGTTCCTGACACACTGACACACTGACACACTGACACACTGACACACTGGGTACTACATGTAGTAGAATGATTCCACATGAGTGTAACTGCTTTGCCACGGAGTCGCACACTGAAACACTAGTTCAAGGTTTCCAGCGAATACAGTACACCTCTCCATCATTTAGAAAAGCGATCCTGTCAGCTTTTCTATTATTGTGTTCACATGGCAAGAAAAACGACACCGCTATGCTACGTAAGTTTCTACGTAAGGTGCTCGGTATTTCACTTAGGCTACGTAAGTCTCTACGTAAGGTGCTCGGTATTATCTACCAACGGGTGGTAGCCGCGTGCTGTGCACGCGCACGGCAGACATTGTGTTGCAGTGCAGTCCGTGTTCGGATGTGCATGCGCGAGGAACTTCCTCCTTTGGAACTGCTTCTTGTATGAGCTGTTTCGGATATTTCGTCTCCTGGCCTGGCTTATTTCGTTTCTGCGCTGCTGAGACCTCCTTTCGCGGAATATTACTCAATGACAGGTGAGTTGACCAGTTCCCTTTTATTCATTTCCTTGTGTTGACTCTTTCATTTACGAAAAGTGTGCTCATTTTGGGCGGAATGCAATAAATAATGGAACAGCTGACAGGATCTCTTTTCTAAATTTAGCTTTTCCGCTGCCCAGGCCTCCTTTTACGGAATACTCGATGACAGGTGATCTCTGGGTTGACCGGTTTCCTTCGATTCATTTGCTTATGCTCACCCTTTCATTTACGGAAACGTGTGCTGATTTTATTCGGATTTAGATCCATTTTTATCTCTTTGCCCTTGTCTACAGTGTGCGAAGAACGCGAGTTCACCTTCTTGACGGTGAGGCTTATGTTAGATGTGTTGTCGAAATACTCATATTCATTGTACATTGGTACGTTACAAGTAAGGCACTGGTCAGTGGCATACTATCGTTGGCAGTTCCCAATCTGGAGGGAAAGGTTCAAGGACCCATTGACCGAGTTTGCAAAATAAATTCGCATATCAGGGAACATCTCCATTGTGGAGAGTTTCAGTAAACTTATTTGCTTCATACGAAACAAGTCAAAGGGTGCAGTCTCGTCTCGTCAAGATCTCGTACTTGTATGTTTGGATTTGTTTACTCGAGTCTGGGCTGTTTGATTTATTATTTGTGAGTTACGCCGAGATTGCACTGCCCCAAATGAAGTTTCGTGCCGCCAAAGCAAGAATTACGATCTGCAAACTGTTTGTAGTACCTGCAAGAATGTGGAGTACATGTATCGTACTTTCTCTGTTGCTGTTTCAGTTGCCGTCATGTTGCTAAAGAAACGTTCAGTAGAGAGGTTCTGCAAAACAAAAATTCGAACGAAGTTTCGCGACAGTCCTTGCGAAAGTGTGTACGAATTTTTGCACGAAGTTTGCGTTCTGCACATTTTCGTAGTTTGCGCTGGCCAAGTGCACGTACGCCATGACCCGATCACACGAAAGTGTGTGCGACTGTTCATTTCGCGTTCCCTGCAAGTTTCGCATCCAAAGCTGCGAAAGTTCGTGCGAAGTTTCGCACCTCCTGATGTAGAGGGAAAGTTTGTACGCATTTTCGTTTTGCAGAACCTCTCTAGTGACTCATTTGTTTCATACGAGACGAGTCAATGAGTTGGTGTGGCTTAGAATCTTTCGCTGTAGAAGAAATCTATTCGTATGTCTATTGGAGAAATAATTGTATTCACTGGTTATAAAATAGGTTAAGACAAACTCACAGAATAAATACCATCGGTCCCTTGGTGTTCGTCCTAAAGAGGTTCGACTGGATATCATTCAAACTCACCAAAAGATGTGTAAGATTTTATTATTATGGAGTGCCTTGTTTATTTCTCAGTACCTCCAACCATAGCCTTGCCCCTTTTATCCTCAGGATCAGTGTAGTTGTTGGAACGATATGTCGGACTCGACAATGTATTTATTTACATTTTAATACATGTATATTGTTCCTCCTTTGCTGTGTTGTTTTAGAAAATCGTGGACTAACAGTTTGAAGTCATTGAA